CTTGAAGTTTACCAAAAAATAGATTGCCTTGAAAGTAGCTAGATAGCACAGGTCAACGAAAAGGGTACACCAACCGATAATTGAAAAAACAATCCAGAAACTATTCCCTAGCTTATAAATTTTTTATTTTTCCCTTTTTTGAATTTGTAAACCATTTTTTTCCTTTTCTTGAAAAAAAAAAAGAACGAAAAAGATTAAAGATAAAAGAAATGGCCAATATGATTAGTTAGAAAAAAAAAAAACTTTAATAAGTGGCAAAGCCTTCTCTTTATTTTATATAAATATATACTGCTGGCTGGGATCATAGACCAAGCTTTGACTTCAACTGGCAACTAATTAATCATATAAGCAACAAAGCAAATAACCAATATTATACATTAATGAAGTTGATAACATATATTAAGGGCTTTGTTGACTTCGCTGATTTGAGTTTTTTTACAGTAAAAAGTTCTCATAAACAATCACATCTAACTTTTTTGCTATAGTAAAAAACTCTCACATAAAATCACATCTCAACTCGAATTCTAAACTCGAATCAACGAAGTGAACGGGCCTAAGTGAATCAAGATCACTACTAATACTAAATGAGGTAACTCTGTGTCAATTTTGTTCTTTTATGCATTATTATAATATTAAGCACATGATCTATATGGACACCGTGATAATATAGTACTGTATATATCTTGCTTTAGTTAAGCTATTTTCTATTACTTGGATGAATATTGCGCATGGTATACACATATGGTTGTAATTGGATTTGTGCAGCTAGGTTTAGTAGTACTGGCTAGCTGCGTGGATTAACGTTTGCAGTGACATAATCAAGCTTATAATTAATCATTTGACATGTCATGCATTTTCTTTTAATATAAGACAATGTACTTTTTTATGAGATAGTTACAAATTAATTATGTAAAAATTAACAACACACAATATTTTATTGTGCATGGAATATTTATATATATATATATATACACACATACATTTTTTTTGGGGCTAAAGAAGCAAGAAGTTAGCCAGAAATGTGTGTGTGTGTGACTAGATGTTTCTCTTGTTTTTACAGCGAATCTCATGCTTCGTAGCATTAGTGAGATTTGGAGTACAGTATAAATGTACATATATATATGTATTTAATTTGTATGTATGTGTGTACGTATTTTTACACAAACTAATTTTATATAAAGACTTAAAACAAACATTCGTTTGCCAATACAACTGGATCATATAAGAGGATACTAATTAGGCATTATTTTTTGTTTGAGATAACAAGGCATTTTGGTTATCTTCAGCGAGAAAAAAAAAGGAAAAAATTTTGGTTTTTGTCGTGTTAAGAATCGCGAGTAGCAGGACACACGTCCAAAGCAGGAAAGTGACTGCAATTTGTGATTTAAGGTGGTCAAAATATACAAAAATGTGGCAAGGGACTATTTAGTCATTTTAATTATTTGAAATATTAGTTATATAAAAGTGTTTTGCCTGCTGGAATATGACATTGTAACACTATAAACGTAACAGTCGGGATACATGTCGTGCATTGAAATATAATCTCGTATCATAGAAGCGTAAAACCGACAATAGAATACCAACCCCTCGTTGTTTCTTGGTGAAAAATTAAAGGAGATTATATTTTCAAAACTCATGATAATATTATGAGATTTAATCAAATTTTGTTGTGTTTTTAGGTATTAAAAATGGTCAAAGAACCTATATGTGGATACTGTTCCATCAACCACTCTTTTTTTTTTTTAAATGCTGGAGCCTATTTTTATTGTCAGACCCACAACCTATTACCTTCAGTTATATATATACATATATATATATATATATATATTGCTGAATATTACCTTCAGTTATATTTGTATGCTCTTCTTTTGTTATATTCACGTATGTGAATAAATGGCCTCCATTTTATCAAAGACCGATCAAAAAAATTTTAGAGGTATAGTCTTAAGAGAGACAAATCCTATATATATATATATATATATATATGATTTTTTTAGCATGTATGGTACTACATGTATATACTTTAAGATTTAGATGTTTTGTATTTATTAAGCAGATCATCTTTAATACAAATACTAATTAATGTTTATAATTTGCAGGAAAAAATGTGAAAATAACACATTTAATTAGTTATTTTATTTTTTGGATCAATATATAATGCTACTTCAAATGCAATATATCACTTTTTGTTCTAATTATTAAGAATTTATAAAAGTGAAATTAAAAGAGACAAATACCTCCTTAAATTGTATAACTCTTGATTTTTATTTTGATTAATACCCTTTTAATCAAATATTATATCAGTAGTATTAATTAAAAGTAAATGATAAAAATTTAGATTCATGTACTTCTAAAAATAATAATTCAGTAATTTTCCCATAATTAAATGAAAAGGTTAAACACCAATTAGTATAAATCAAATGTCAAACTATAGCATATGTCAAATTCAATACAAAAAAAAAGTACTTTGTTGAAAGTTTTTTTTTTTTTTTTTCTAACACTTGAATGTTAAGATTTAACATTGACACACGAATTTTGAGACCGCGTTAAAGATTTTCTATGATAATTATGGTACACTCCCAAATCCCAACAACGACAATAGAAGAAATGTCGAAGTTAAAGGGTTCACTCGTGATCCGTAAAATTAACCTAATTCCAAAGCCTCTATTAACAAGATAAATAACTAAGGGGTTATTCTTTTATATTTTTGAGTTAGGGTGACTTAAGTGATGATTTTTAAGTTGAGTTTGAGTTATAACTTGAGTTGAAGCTGTAACTTGAGTTTGTGTTTAGATGTGCATATTTGAGTTATCATTTAAATTGAGAATCTTTTTGAGTTTGTGTTTGGGTGGGTCAAAACTTAAATTTTTATTTAGATAGTATTTTAATAAAAACTCAATGGTGATGAAAAATTTTAATAGGGTATATGGGTGGGGTTTTATTCATCTTTTTGTTGTGAATGCATAGAAAAAAAAATCATCTCAATCAGGATTAAAATTAAAAAGTTATAATATTTTTAAGAATAGAAAAAATATTGTTCATTAACTTGAGTTTGAGTTTATGAACTCGAATTGAAAGGAAAATATGAACTCGAATTTAGCCTCAAACTCGAGTTCAAACTCGAGTTTTACAAAAGAACATAAACTTGAATAAAATTGTAACTCGAGTTTAAATTTTTTCTGAGTTTCGTTAAAAAAAAACAATATTTAGGCTCCGTTCACTTCACCGATTCGAGTTTAGAATTCGAGTTTTGCTACAGTAAAAAACTCTAAGAAACAGTCACATCTAACTTTTTTGCTACAGTAAAAAACTCTCACATAAAGTCACATATCAAGTCGAATTAAAAACTCGAATCAGCGAACTAAACAGGCCCTTAGACTTTGCAAAGCTATATAAATTATTCTCTCTCTCTCTTTTCTAGCTAAAATATATAACGAAATAGTTACAGAAATATTCTTATTTTGGAAAGCGTTTCGCATCCTTAAGAAGTGAAGTTATAGGCGCAAGCTAATTTAGAAAGTACATAGAGGCACGTATAAGACACGGACACCTTTTTCAATTTTCCTGTTTATGTTAGTCACAAAATTTTACACAAGGTAAATAGTTCAACCTTTATATGTCTGAAAAATCCATTAAAAAGCTAGGGCTCTATAATATTGACCAACTATGTGAGAAACCAAACTTCCCTAGCCTAGAGTATAATGAGGGAGAAAAACAGCATGATGAAGCCACAGAAGAAGTATATAATGTACATGTATATATCATTAGGATTGCTTGCCTATTTGTACAAGTTAGGCAATAGCTATATATGTATATGATACGTCAACGCCATTCCAAAGATGGCATTGATTAGTCATGAGACCCAATGCACACCTGATGATCAGATGAATTTAAAAGGCAAAGAATCTGATAGCTACATGGGCCCATCTAGCTATATGATCATTCTCATCAATTACTACGATATGATCGATACATCTCATGCACAGTAGTTAAGAATCAGACTACTATTCATGAGTATATATGTAGTGAACGAATTGTCATTCCATGGAGAAATTAAAAATAGACCCTTTTGATATATGACCTAATTATGAGCTACTAGCGTTTGATTTCAACTTGTAAAGTATACCAAAAAAAAAAAAAAAAAAAAAAAAAACCTTTGGAAGGAGTTATTAGAGTTTCCACGAAACATTTTTCTTTTTTGCATTTTCTTGCGGAGCTAGCTAGAGATCAATCATGAAAATTATGATTAATTATACTTGTCAAATGAGCAAAATCCCAAATTTATATAGAACTTGAAATAAGTATATTTTGTTCCCCAGTTTATTTAATTTTTTCTACTAGGTATTCATTTGCTGCATGAAGTCAAAAACATAAATTATCCTTAATTAGACGCATATATACCATGCGTGGTTTCATTTCAAAAATTTCAATTAGCTAAGGTCTATTCAACTCACGTTTATTTGGCCATTCTAATATATATATATATATATATATATATATATTTATAGGAGAAACGTCAAAATTCTGAGAACTATAGCTATCAATTTCAAATACCCCGATGGCTTTCTACTTAGCAAGACTTTTTTGAGAGAAGGAAAAGACAGAGAGTGTGAGGTTTATGTGGGCAAACCAAACACATTTGTATGAGTTGGAAAGTTCTATTGCCTTAACCAATAATAATATCTGAGTTAGAAATTTGTTGTACGATATTATTTGCCTATCCTTTTGACTTGTGTATCTCTGAACGAAAAGTAATAATATATATTATCTTTTTTTTTGTCACTCTTCCAAATACTTAATCCGTCTATATATATTATTATTAAGGGACAAGACACAACAGTCTATTCTCCACCAAAAAATTTATTTGCAAAGTGAAGACCTTTTGGTTCCTTTTAAGAAGTTGAGAGATATCCAAGGGATCATAAGAGTTCTTTCTTTCCGAGAGATAGAGAGAGAGAGAGAGAGAGAGAGAGAGAAAGGAGAGAGAGAGAGAGAGAGAGATGGGAAGAGCTCCTTGCTGTGACAAGGCAAATGTGAAGAAAGGGCCATGGTCACCAGAAGAAGACTCAAAGCTAAAGGAATACATTGAAAAATATGGAACCGGTGGAAATTGGATTGCTCTTCCACAAAAAGCCGGTAATAACAATGATGCTATAATATTTTATCTTTTTTGTGTCTCAATATTATATGCATACTCTCTCTCTCTCTCTCTCATATGTTATCCTTGTTTTTCCATGTGGTGGCCATGTTTGGCACTCTCTCTCTGGGTCTCATATGTTATCCTTGTTTCTCCATGTTGTGACCATGTTTGGTTTTTTGGTACTTTTTGGATTAACCAGGTCTTAAGAGGTGTGGGAAAAGCTGCAGGCTGAGATGGCTCAACTATCTTCGGCCAAACATTAAACACGGAGAGTTCTCAGACGAAGAAGACAGAATCATCTGTAGCTTGTTTGCCAACATTGGTAGCCGGTACTGTTTTTTCCCAAACATTTTAGTCTTCTTTTTTTTTGTTTTTTTGTTTTTGCTTTTTTTTTTTTTGGTTCTTGACCACAATTATTTGTAATAATTTCCTTTCAAACATCATGGAAGATTAACGCAGACCCAAAAGGAGTAAATACAATATTTTCTTTCCTTTTTTTTTTTTGCCATATATTGGACTTTCATCTAATTATTAGCTGCAAAGAAAAGGCCATTTTTGGATAAATCTTGTGCATGCATGCCAAGTTCTGGATCTAACATCAATACCCACTTAACAGCTGTTAGTGGAAACAAAGCTTACTTTTTGTCTTTAACTTTCTCGTGTGACTTTACATGTTAAACAACTACAGGTGGTCAATTATAGCTGCTCAGCTGCCAGGCAGGACTGACAACGATATCAAGAACTACTGGAACACCAAGCTGAAGAAGAAGCTCATGGGTTTTGTCAATCCTCCTGACAATTATAATTATAATCATAATTCTCAGAGAAAACTCCCACTAGTGCCATTTCCCAACAACGATAACATTATCATTTCCTCTACTCATGAGACCACTACTTCTTGTACCTCATCTTTCTCACTTTCTCAACCACTTCTCATGTCATCACTTTCCAAAAACCACCAATCCAATTACTCTGGTTATTACCTTACCCCAACAAGTACTACTAGATCAGCTTTCTCATCATCATCATCATCAGGATTAGATAGTCAAGTTTACTCAAATATGATTACGTCCATTAATTATTCGAACCCCAGCAGTAGTAGTACTGCTTCTGGTCTTTTCCAAACACAAGATCAATACAATTACTTGGATGGAAATTCTAGTTATATGCAGTGTTGTTATAACTATCCTTTGAAGGAGAATAATCTCCTCATGTTTGGAAGCGAAGGAAGCTGCAGTACTTCATCTGAGGGAAGCTGCAATTACCAGATCAAGCAAGAGGAGATGGGGAGAATTCATAGCCAGGATTATAATATGGGAAACCTTAGTTATGATCAGGACCATAATGCAATAAGCCAGAGATTGTTCATGCTCAACAGTGGAGGATCAGGCAATGGAGATCAATATGATCATAATTGTCTCAACCACTGGGGTCAGAAGTCAAATGGGTGTTTTGGAGAAACGACATTAGATGATCATCAGTACCATGTTCTTGAGGATCATGTGAAGCAGCTGATTAGTAGAAGTAGTACTACTAGTAACAACCAAGGTAACAATTATAATGGGTATAACAACTTCTTCAACATTGATGAAAACAAGACGCAAGAGAAGGTCATGTACTTTTAGTAGTATTTGTAGTAGTACTGGAGATAATGAATATATATATATATATATATATATTCTGTTGAGAATGTGACTGACTATAAGTAATATCAGAGAGATTTGATGGGGTAAGGGCCAAGGGGCATGGTCGTGTGGTGTGGGGGAAGAGAGATCAGAGCTAAAAAAAAACGAAAGAAAAGAAAAAGTAATTAGACTTTGATGAAGTTCATGGGGTTCTGTGTTTTGATGAAATGAAACATTTGTGATCTTTTTGTTTGACAGTACATAGTAAAGCTTCTTTTAATTTTGTGCATTTCTTTTCGGGACCTGTTGAGTGATGATGACGATGATGACGATGATGTTATATTGTTGTACGGCCTTTAACTGCAGCAACTAGAGATCATGAAAACTAGAGATTAATTGTCATGAAAACAAGAGATCATGAGAAAAGAAAAGGAAAATTATTAAAAAAGTGTTTATATATTATTAATTTCCATCCTTCCGAGAACAAGAATCTTATGTCCAAACAAAACAAACTAACGATGCACTGGTTTCTGTATTATATTCAATTATCTTTCTTTTCTCTAATTTATTATTCATATTATTTTAAACATTTTGGCAGTGATTTTGAGCAAACTAATTAAAGACTAAAGAGAATAGTGCCCGACACCTAGTGGAGAGCAAATGAGTAAAATCCTACCCCTAGTCTTCCATATAAAGAGGCCACACTGATTATTTCCTATATATATATATATATATATATATATATATATTGGTCTTTTGGAGGTGATTTGCACACATATACGCTTGGTCTGAGATTTTAATTAATTGATACTCAGAATCTTTACAGTAACCAAAGTTAGACATTAAGTTGAGAACTTGTTTATCCAAAACTTGAAAACAAAGGCTATGATGCTGGAAATTTTGGAGCTTTGTGAAGGCTCATGATTTAAAAGAAATAATAAAAGAAAATATTTTATTATTGATCGTGATCTCAGTCTACGAATGGAAAAATAAAATATTTGCTTGAACCCTAGAGGCCCATGAAGTGTGTTTGAAGCGAATATTTCTTTGTCTGACGATAATGATCAACAATATTGGACAAATTACAAAATTAATTAATTTATTTTTAATCAAATAGCCAATACCGCATGACCTTGTGAATATTATAAGCAGTAGTACTGAGTTAGTCTCAAGTTTTGAGTAAATAATAAATAGTTTATGAAAGAAACTACTGCTATAATTTTGTTCTTTAAATAACTCTCCTCTTTGTCAAGTGAAAACAACTAATGTTTAGAAGACTTCGTATATAACATAGAACAGATTGAAAACTTGATATATATGTAAGGAAGTTTACATTAAAGAAGAGGAAACATGTGCAATTTAAGTTAATTATTTGATATGCTCTTAAAGAATTGAATTTTTGGCTTATAATATATGTGTGAATTCTTAATGCCACGCTAAAAGCAAGTTATAATGTCGGGAAAGCTTAGAAAATCATTACTAATTAAAAAAGTTGTTGATAAGTGATAACCCTAGGCAAATAATAATAATAATAATAATAATAACAAAGAAATATCTTATGATCGTCAAAACATTTAATCAGAATTGTAGTATAAAGGTATATTAATTCCTTGTACTGAATTCTGATAAAGGTATATTATTTTCAACTACCACATGACAGGTAAAAAGAAAGCACCTTCAGAATAATAGGTAATTTATGTAACTGTGACATATTATCTTTGAAACCCAAAAAGTGATCTTAACTTTGTCTCAAACTCTCACCCGGCCATATGTATGGTTTTATAACCCTTGTTACGCTTGCTGCAATCACATTATAATCGTCCAAGTGTAAATGTGAAGACATGTATGGTTCAAAAGAAATATGAGATAATTAAAACGCGTTTAGTAAACAAAAGGAGACGTTTGTTTTCTATATTCGTTCATGATTCTGAATCATGATTTATAATTCTCTATAGTATTTTCTCTCATAAAAAATATACATAAAATAAAAATAATTTTAAATCATAATTCTAAATATATAAACCAAACGTCCTCTCTAATGTGTCTTTTTCTTCTCAATTCCAAGGTGTTTTTTTGAGCGGGAAAAGTATATAATATAAGTGTAATAAAGAGGTGTTCACAAAACAAGTACAGTTTGAGCAAGTTGAAGAAAAGAAAGGTCTGGGACTGGGTTTGAGTTGAGAAATCAGAAAAATGTGAGTGATACATTGGACGTATAATTATGAGGATGGAAGTAAAAGGAGATAGAAGCATTAACAGGTGTCAAAAGGAGGTGTTATTTGTGCCGTGGCTTAAACAGAAGAAAGGAATGGCCAAAGCCAAATATTTTATTGAAGTGACAGGGAATCCCCGTCGGGAATGACTCCCGGTTGCCTCCAAATTTTCATGATTCACTGCACACCCAACAATATCTCTGTCACCCCCTACGGCTATGCCTTTCTCTCATCTCCAAACTCTTCATCACTTATTACACACCTCTATTTTTTATTATTATTATTGTGTTTTAATTTTCTTGAGGGGAAGAAAAAAATTTAGAAACACCCAATAAATTTAAGGGAATATGATGATAGTATAGAACAATTATTGATTTCTTATCTTAAGGGGGAGAGAAAAAGAGTAAATTTAGTTGAGGTGCCAGCTATGTTATATTATCTATTAATAAATTAATGTCTCATTCATTTCATCGATTTGAATTTTCAGTTATAGATTTTTACAGTAAAAATCTCTCAAAAAATATCACATTTAATTTTTTTCTATTACAGTAAAAAACTCTAAAACAATATCACATTTCAACTTAAATTAAAAATTCGAATTCACAAAGTGAACTAACCTAAATTTTTCTTATAAGTGGGTTTTTATATGTATATATATTTTTTTACTAATCGAGTGGGTTTTTATATTGAAAACGCTGGAAAGCTCTTCTAGGAATGTCTTTTCTATAGAACTAAAGTCAAAAGCTGTGTGGAACCTATTGTCAGTCTGACTGAACAAATATTTAAACTCAGTTTTCTGAATTGTTTCTCTTTTTTTATTCTTTTATTTTTTAAAAATTATAATTGTTTAGATGATGATCTGTTGTCAACACACAAGAAAAAGACGGGTTAACTTGTAGATCGATTCTCGGCCTTTCATTTCATTTTATTATTATTTTTTCTAAATTTACATTGAATATTGGAATCCCTGGTAGTTTTTGTCAACTTGGGGAGAAAAACCAAATGCAAATTAATACTAATATCAGACCTCTTTCCAGATCTAATCTAATCTAATTCTAAGCTGAAAGCCGTCCAATTTGTTCAATTTGACCATTGTCTGTGACCCATTAATCAGCTCCTTAATATTAACAATTAACTTAAAACATACATAGACTTGACCTTAAATGTGTAATGTTGAATATTAACAGTACTCTTTCAGACATGATTTATTTATAATGGATTAGTTGTTTCTTCTTCAACTTTATTTCCATGGCTGCATTTGTCTACTTGAAAAATATCCTTACTTTTCTCCTATTTCTTTTTCTATGCTTTTTTTTCTTTTTTTTGGGAAAAAGGAAGAACTTCCTTGCTACACCACGCTTAAGAGTCTAAGACCTATAACTAAAGTCGAATATTCACTGTTTCCAGTTCAAGGCATGTTGATATCACCCCATCAACAAGCCCAAGACAGGTTAGGCTGGGAAATTGGTGGTTAATAGAAAAAGTTATACACTTCTGTAAATTGAAAATGACCCCTTTTATATTTATCTATGGATTAAAACCTTCATAATCACATGAGGTGAATCCCACTAAGTGAATAACACCTAACCTAGTGGGATCCACTATTTTGTTAGAAATGGACTGGATTAAAAGGACCAATCATCCGAAAATTAGGATTCATTTCATGTCACAAATATTCACTTATAGCATACCATATCTCAATAGATCCTCGTAATTTTTCTACCGCGTGTACATTTCCATAATGATGGTGTTTTTTTAAAATTAACCTTTGTTATTCAGCATCTTAGACTAGCCATCCCTCAGAAGGTATTGTTAAAAGATCATCAATTCCTAATGAAATGGGATGAATATCACTTTTGAAATGAAGGGGTTGTTTGGTTGGAGGATTCGTACCCCGATTCGAATCATAGTTCATGATTCGCTACAGTATTTTCTCTCACAAAAAATACACGTAAATCGAAAATGGTTCTAATCTCATGATTCTAATCCATAAACTAAACGTCTCCGAAATGATATAGTTTTATAAAATGAAAATGAGGCATTCTATTTATCCCATGGGTTAAAACCTCACTGCTCACATGAGATATGGATTCACATTTGTTAAGAGACAGAATTTTTTACAAAGAAATGAATCCTCAAGAGAGACCCAAGGCAGGCCTACGTTTCCCAAGCGAGTGTTGTTTGTTCCCTGTCTTTCCTTAAACCAGTTAGCAATAACCATAATCAGATCACATTTGAAGCGTCAGAGAAGATAGCCCACCAAGTTTCTATTTAAGAAACATGCACGGTCCAAGTGAAGAAAAGTTGACAAAAGATTTTCTGTGAATATAAAATCTAAGGTTACTTGCTCAAGCTCACAAAACAGTCATCTCAATAGGCAATAGGCTACTAGTAGTAGTAGTAGTGGTGGTGGTGCATTGAAGTAAAAAGTGTCAAAACACAATCCAAAGCCCTCAGATCAGTGTCTGCTGCGTATCAGCAACAGATGAAGCATGATACATATTTGTTTTTACGAGTGCCATATCCTATTCCCTGCACTAAATACAAAATGTACGTTCAGTACCAAAACAACGACAAGGATTGAACTTTAAAGTCTTAAATTAAAGCTCAAACATGTATGTGATAACTTTATATTCAGTATTAACCGCCTATTAAATGATTTCGATGTTTTGCACCCGCTTTATCATTGCTTTTGCTTCTAGGCCATATAAAACAGGAAGTAAAACTTGTGAGTTTTTAGTGTTTAGAATCACGTTTTTAAAAGAGCTTAATGAAATGAAACTACATTTGAATATTCTGTATTAAACATGTTATAATAAAGTCTTTAAAGTCTTAATTAAACTCTAGTACAAATTTCAAAGTTTCATTACAAGAGAGATTTTTTGATAAGCCATACAATGTAGTTCTGAGTGTAAGCTCTTTTGAAAAGTTATCCAAACACTTCGAAAAGTAGCTTTTGGATCCCGAAAGCCAAAAGTAACTTCCAGGAAGCAATGTGAAATGGGCTTAATGCTTGCTAAGCAACTACGATAAGAATTATTAAGCAGAAAAGAATAAAAAATAAAAACTTACTAGAAGATTTGGTGGGAATAGATGACTTAAGAAGCACTAGCAGTGATTTGTCCAATAGTTTTAAGATCAAAAATCTCAATCCAGTAGCCATCAGGATCCTTGATAAATGCTATTCCTTTCAATTTCCCTGAATCAAAAACATGTAATTGACACAAAGAAAAACGACAACAAAGAGAAACAACCTTACCCTTTTTTTCGTGGAAAGAAACCTCACCAAACGACAAAGAACAAGGACAAAAAGAAAACGACAAAATAGAATGATCGCTAAAGCAATGAACACAACAAGAAAAAATAATAGACGGTTTCCAGCATTAAAAAAAAAAAAAAAAAAAGACGGCAACAAAAGATACGAGAATAGATTAGGGGCTAGATATTTGAAAAAGATGAAACAAAGATGAAAAATACACAAAATCATAAATGACAATAAGCTAAAAGCGACAACAAAGCCAACGACACCTAAAGTATTAAACGGTAATAAAACAAGAAGCATATGATATGATTTACACTGAGATAGAGAGAAAGGGCCTGTTTGGCCTCTGCAGCAGGTCAGGGAGTTTGAAAAAGGTGTTTGAAAAAACCCGCTTTTATCTAGCAGCTTCTAAAAACTGCTACCCCACAGCAGAATTTGAGAAGCAAATTAAGGTTACTTTTTCACAACAACTTCTATTGTCATTGTCTAAATTTACTAAAATGACCCTAATAATAAATCTTAATTCCCAAAACAACTCATTTTATTTCTTCCAAATCAAATTAAAGAGTATATTTTATTTTAAATGTTTATTTGAAAATTAAAAATCTTTAATAAAAATCTTATATTATATTTTAATAATATATTTATATTATAATGTTACAAGTTTGAAAAATAATTTACCTTTAGTACTTTATGTTATTTAATTTTTTTTATAAATATATAATTTATCTCGAATAAAACCAATTTATTTTTTAGAGATATCTTAATTAATAAAATGAAAATTAATTTTTTTTAGTATTTTGGTGTATAAATATTATAAATATTGACTATAAAAATAAAAATAAAACTAATTATTATAAGTATGTGTTTTAAAGTATGCCTATTTTAATCATTAGACATCTTCATAGTAATTTTATAATAGTTTACCAAACACCTAAATTTCTACTTATGGTATTCATAGCAACTTTGAAAAAAATTTACCAAACAACTACATTTTTGTAGTCACAGCAACTTCTAACTAAGAGCACAGTAACGACAGAAATTTTCAACAGCACACCAATGCCAAACTGGCCCAAAGAGAGAGAGAAGAAGAATAAGAAGAAGAAGGAATGATGTTCAAGGAACAGCTTATGATGCTTAATTAGTCTCACAAACTGAAAAAGATAAGACTCACCATCGTCTGGCTTTTTTACAAATTCCACCCCTAGCCGTTCAAACCTCTCACATGCCTTGTATGTGTCATCAACGGTGATGCCAATATGTCCTGAATGAAACATACCAGTAAAACACCATATTTAATCCAAAGGGCATTAGAGGAAGGTCTAAGTCTAGGTTACGTGGACCTCTAATGCACTCTAATATGTCATCTAAACAGTAAGCTTGTAACATACTGCTAAAATACACTCAAAATACTAGGAAATACCCATAACTAAACAACTTCAGTAAAGCACCTGATTTGTTGCACAGATCCGGACATGGTGGTGGCATCACGAAAGTATATCAAATAATTTTGAGACATCAATGTGACTGTAAGACCCACTATACTTAACCAAATAAGGGCATTCTCTTTGCATTCTTGCTTATCCATTAAAGAAACATTGCTTAAAGACGTCTAGGTAAAAACTTTTCAAGTATTTAGTTATTCTATGTATAAAATTCATGTACCGGGGTGAATTTGAAGGTTTCAGAATTCACTTGATCAGTGGCCCAGATTTCATACGTGTAAACAATGTGTACTATGTATGTGTTTGTGTTTCTACTGCTTTACGTACGTACTAGGACAAAACCACACATGCATGAAATAACCACTAATGTTTAGACTTACCGAAGCCACGAGGATCGGAATTCCCATTGTGGTATCCTTTGAATTCTGGATCGCTTTCAGTACCCCAATTACTGCCACAAGCATTAGACCCTGAAGCGTTATTAAAAAGACCCAGAACCTCAAACTACAAGCTTAAAAGCAAACTAAAATTTTGAACATTACAAGTCTTACTGTGTTAACTCAATAGTAGCCTTCTGACCAAAGGTCCAAACTGTTCTATCAACAGCATTAGCTGGAGCTGATGCAGGGTCCTGCAACAGATAAAATTTAGATCTCATAAATCTAAGGAACCAAAAGAAAAACAACCTTCTAGAAACTTAAAACCAAAAGTTGAAAAACAAACATTACATTAATAAGAGGCTTAATACAACATAAATGACATTGCAGATAGGGCAGGATAGAAAACTCCACATACAGTTAAGAGGCTTAATACAACATAAATTATATTGCAGACAGGGCAAGATAGAAAACTTGACACAATTGACCTAATATTGAACCGTTCAAATCACTTAGGCACTGAAAAAAAAAAAAATTTAAGTTGTAAAAAATTGGTGTTACAGGATTTACCTCATAGCCCAAAAAGTACAAACTAAACTTCATTTCCGGAAAGTCCAGCCTCTTTAGTAACCTGAAATTTCCAAAAATCATCAGCAATTCAACAACAAATAGAAGAAAATGAAAAAAAAAAAAAAAAAAAAAGAAAAAAAAACAACTGAAAGAACACGATTTGTCCAACTGTTCTTTTTCTCTTTTGCAGGCAAGCTGTTCTTCTTAAATTAACTTATAAGTTCTAATCAGTAAAGCCAACCTAGTGAAATGACCAATTATAAAAAAGTGAAGAGGTTCAATGCAGTATATAAAAATTAGTTAATACAATTGAATTTACAAATTATAGGTTCAATGCAGTATATAAAAATTAGTCAATACAATTGAATTTACAAATTATGTTACAAAATGGAAGGCGAAATGTGAGTCAATGTTTCATTTTGTCTAAACCCTGTAAAGATGCAGTTCTTCTTACGCACCAAGAAATTCCTCACCCATTAACCCGAAAGCAAATTCTCATTCAAAATAGAGATTACAGTCCCATACAAAACTAATCAACCAATAACCAATTAATTCCAAGACCAAATCAATAGGGATGGAGTTCCAATTGCAAGACACATTGCAGAAGGAAAATAGATAGAAAGACATAAAACTTACGACATGCCCAGAACACGAGAATAGAAGTCAAGACTGACTTTCGGATCTTTAATTCGAAACATCTGAAATCGAAATTAACATGATAAAATAAATAAATTTTAGATAAAAGAAACTATGTTATGAAAAAAAAAAAAAAAAACCCAAATTGGCTGACTGTTTGTTGCATGAAGTAACCCTTGGTGGCTTCATCTGGAGTAGTGTGGAGTCCTGGGTTATTGGCCGGCAATTCTTTGGGTTCGGAGGCCATTGAGAAGACTCGGAATCGATTCAAAACCTGAAAAGCCAAGCAAAAGCACGAAAACCCAGATGAGAAAACCCGTCGAGAACGAACTGAATTGGGAATTCGAAGAATGATTCCTGGATAGACCTTTGGGCTTGAGTTTGCGTCGAGGAATGGGAGAGAAGGAAAAGAAGAAGAAAATGATGATGATTTTGAGGCGAAGCGGAGAAGGGAGAGGCGTGAAAAAGTGGTTGTGATTGAAGAGTAAGCCATGGAAATCGAATGCAAATTAGAGGATTTGTTTAATGAGAACAGATGAAGAGAAGAACGTGAATGGGTATTAAAAAGTGATTACCTTTCAGTGATGACTATCCAAAGAAGGGAAGCTCGGGGAATGGGTGATCTTCTTTCTGGTGAAACTCTTGTCATTTGTGATTTTAGGCGTTGTATATAACTCAAATGACAATGCTGTCCTCACGCGCTTTTTGCTATTTCAGTTCCTACTCTAGACTTTTGGTTAATCTTACTGGTGCCCTCGAACTTTATATTCATTTTCAGTTTGTTTAAATTTGAAAAAATCTCGTTTTACTCTCTGTTTTTTCAGTTTGCCCCCTACTAAAATCAGACGAAAAAAGAATTCGGCATTTCAACTAATAAAATGGTTCGAAAGTAGAGAAAATGACGGGCAGCCTTGTAAAAACTTTATTTATATCTTATAAATCTTTCCAGAATTGAACCTTTAAAAGATGTAAAATAAAAATTGCAAATGCCCCTTTTCATGTATTATGTCCTTTGACAGCTCCTTCAAAAAGGACAGTTCTGATTATGTAGGTCATATTAGAAAGGTGGTCGTTATGAGTGGTAGTTTTGTACTTATTCCTTAATACTAATTATATGACAGAGAGAAATAGTAGTCAATAATATATTTTTAAAATTAAATTAAGTAAATAATGTATTTTAAAATTATTTAAAATAAATAACAGTACCGTAAATGAATCATTTATTATGTAAATGATTTATTTATAATTGTCTATTTTGAATTTCAAAATTTAATAACCTTTAAACTTCTCTATACAACGAGGCCTATTTATATCACACATTCTCTCTATCTATAATATATATATATATATATATATATTTTGTCTAATGTTTGTATGTACATCTTAAATCTTGCTCTTTGAGTCAATATTCCTTTAGTTATTCCAAGAATGTATGTAGCATATATGTACATCTCAAAATAAAGGAGTGTGTTGATATATTGGATTGGTTAATGATTTTTATAGCTAATGATTTTGTATTTCCCGAATTAGGAGTTATGGAGGTTTGAAAGGAGAGGTTTTTCAAACCTTCCTTTACTTTTTCCCTCAACTGAACGGTATTTAATTCGTTTGAATACACCATTTCAACGCTTTTGAGATTGTGTATGTTTAATCACAACATATATTTGTTGGAATTTCATTCTTTTCTAAGATAAGTCCATCCTTCTTACTCTTTTTATTTTATTTTATTTTTTATTACGAGTTCTATTTTTTAATTATACTTTTTCTATTTTTCAAGTCCAGCTTGATGTCTTCAACAACCATTTCGTCTTTTGATCTCATGGTATGTCTTATTTCTTCTTCTAGACAGTTAGATAAATCATTTTGTGTTGTTCCCTAACATCAAATGATTTGTGCTTGCTCTTTATATAGAAAAAGACATTATATGGTTGGATTTCCTTTCACCATGGATTGTATCTATTTATAGATACTTTTTGCATAGTAAAAAAAAAAAATGGCAACTAAGTTATTTCCTTAATTTAATGGGAAACTATTTTGTACCTTGCTTAGCTATTTAGTACCTAATTGGTGCATAAATTTGAACAAAAAGTTTAAATAAAAATTTAATTTTTATGAAAGAAAATACTATAAAATTTTCTGAATTGAAGTTTAGTCCCGCAAAACAAACAACACATTATTGTAAATGGACAAAATAGTAATCAAAATGTGACGGATTATAAATGGTAAGTACGACCATGGTTTATGGTTAAGCTAGGTATGATAAAAAATGAGTTGGAATTATTAATTCCAAGTTCCAATTAATTTTGAATAAAATTGAAACCATTTCACATTATATAAATCTTGCCCACTCGTGTATGTCATTCATGACATAGTTTTTGATTATTATATTTAATTCGGATTTGAAATGAAAGTTCAGGATAATCAAATTAAAAGTCCTGTAAATATGTTGTTGGAGTGCTCGTCTTTAGAAGAGTGTTCACGGTGGGTTTCATTTTTGGTTGAGTATATATAGAGAATTCATTCGTTTGTGATATTTTTCTTAGAAATTAATCATCATGGTCTGGACAGTTTCAGCAGAAAATATGACTCGGAGGGAGATAAAACTTATTAATCATGACGGAAATTTGGAAGATGCTGTAGTTGTTCCTCCTCTTGACGAGCTTGCTTACAACCATTTACATCGGTGGAAGTGGCAATGGTATTGAAGTGGAATTTTTTTCGTGGCAATGGTATTAAAAGTTTAGTTACGCCGTTGTTCATGACGGTCAACAGAAGTCGTTTAAACCATGTGGAGAGTTGGTTGTGTCGAAGCATTATGCAGAATTGGTGATAGTTTGTGTTGATGGTGATAGTTTGTAAAAAGCTCTCAGAAACAATTACATCTAACTTTTTTACTACAATAAAAAGCTCTCACATAAAGTCACATCTCAATTTGAATTAAAAACTCGAATCAACGAACTAAACATGCATCTTTTAGATGTTTCGAAACCTAATTTTACAGAGAAACTAACTGGTGATCCTGGTTTCGGTTTTTCTATTCCAGGTAATGATGACACGACAAGTTTTAGGTTTATAAAGTGGAAATTAAATGAAGGACGTTGATCATCGTATTGTTCATCATCCTCAATTTATGTGATGAAATTAGAGAAAATAAAATTGCTGTTGTGTTTGATCATCAATGTAATGATAGATAAATGAAAAGTTCTGTTTGTGTGTTATTTTTTTGAGAGGAAGTACGTATGATGTTTGTTTTTTTTTTTTTTTTCCTTCTCTTTTTCAAGAGTGATATTCAATGTAACTACATATATGAGAAATAAAATTTAGGAGACGTCTACCGAGCAGTAACATAATAATACCCTTTTCTAATGAGGCACACGTTTGTAGTGGTTGGATTAAATTCGACGGTTTTACAAAGATAACTCCATCTAATCCTCAATTTTATTTTATTTATTTATTATTATTATTTTGCTTTTTTCTCTTCGTTTGTCTCATTTATTTTTCTCTGTGTTTTCTGAATTAATCTGGAATCCATCTGATGAGAAATAAAAATGCTCTTCCTTTGTCAAAATAGATCATTAGAAGAACCACGTGATGCACGAAATAAATTTTAAAAGGAAATCACCAAACCGGAATGAACAAAACATGGAAATTAACAAAACATTGTGGACAATATTGACCAGAATTTGTTGGTTTACTTCAACAGTCGGAAATCAGGTTGCCCATCAATTGGCTTTAGTTGCCAGTCTTCATCTTTGTAATCTCATTTTTACTGATGTTGTGCCCCTTTGTATAAGTCCAGCTGGTTTCAATTCAATGCACTATATATACTTACTTTGAGGGGAAAAAAAATCTATTTGTATTAAACCAGTTGATTGCAACATTAATTATCGAAAAAATAGGCAAGTCAACTAAAAAAATATATCCAGAAAAAAAAAAAAAACGTTCACAGAAATAATTATGTAAGGAATTACTCCGAAAGATACAAAAAAAAGGTATAATCGGCATCACACTTAAATATTTTCTAAAATAAATATATTTATAATATTGTACAAAACTAGACATTTTTAGATAGAAGTTTTTTTTTAAATAGACATTTTGTGTAAGAAAAATATATACATTATAGTATTAGTATCCAAAAATTTTCCCAAGTATTTAGTAAGTCTAAACTCAAAGCATCCCAACTCCAAAATAAATTTTCATAGTCTCTCCTTAAGTTGGAAGTACGAGTACGGCCATGGTTTAAGGTTAAGCTAGGTATATAATAAAAAATGATTTGGAATATTTTATTCCAAGTTGTAATTAATTTTGAATATAAAATTGGGAAAAAGAGAGAAATAGGCCAAGACTTGAGATGCATTAAAATTAATAGGCCAATAGTTTACATAAATTAATAAATAGACCAAATTACTATTTTTGTTCATAACTTGTCTGGTTATGAACCATAACTTCTAAGTTATTGTCCATAAATTACGGTTTTTGTCCATAACTTGTCTGGCTATGAACCATAACTTGACAAGTTTATCCATAATTTTCTGGTTATGAACCATAACTTGACAAATTATGGCCTATTAATTTCTATAACTAAAAATTGGCCTATATACTTCCTTAAGCTTTTCATATTGGCATATTTTATACTATTTTCATATAAAATTTGAAGCCATTTCACATTATATCCGGGCCAATTCATGACCATCCACTCGTATATGTCATTTTGACATAGTTTTGGTTATATTGTATTACGGATTTGAAATGATAAATTCAATATAATATAGTCAAATTGAAAGTCCTATAAATTGGTTATTGGAGTGCTCGACTTTAGAAGAGTGTAGACATCGGTTTCATTTTTGGTTGAGTATTTGAGAATTCATTTGGTAATTTGTGATATTTTTTCTGACAAATTAATATTCATTATGCCTTGGACTAAGGCCATAGACGACATGAGTGAGTGGAGTGTGAAAGTTATTAATCATTATGGAAGTTCAGAAACTTCTGTATTTGTTGATCGTTATGAAGTTCTTGCTTACAACCATGACATTGGTGGAAGTGGCTGTGGTATTGAAGAGGAATTTTATCGAAAATGAGATGAAAAATGGGCATTCATGGTTGTGGATGAAGATTGGCGTTTAAAGCTTAGTTGTGCTGTTGTTCGTGATGGTCAACCCAAGTCGTTTACTCTATGTGTAGAATTATGTTCCGTTTGTTTTGAGGATTCTGATATGATTTTAGACCATGGTTCTCAATTCGTTATAGTATTTTTCTCTCATAAAAAATTTAAATTTTAAAACTCAGAATCGTGAACCATGGTTACTAAACATTCTATTAGTTATTGTTATGGGGAATTGTATATTAGTAATTACCAATAAAAGATGTCTATAACGATCAGAAGATGTCTATATAACATTATGGGGAACGATGAAATAGCTAGAAAAGATGTTTCGCTACCAGAAGATGGGGGTTACGGTTTATCTACTCTGGATGGCGAAAAGTTTAGGTTCTATAACGTGAATATATAAAGATGTTGATCATCATCATAAAAAGAATCAGGTTCTTGTTCACATTGTTGGT